CTGTTGAATCATTAGGTTTTGAGATGCATTGTTTAAAACAAGGTGTTTTCATGCTGTTTGTGGAAGCAGGATATGATGGAAGTTGGTGTTATTTATTTTTTTTGCAAATATTACATAAAGTACATATAGAAACAGTATTTTCAGAACATTGAGTTTGAAAAGAAAGTTTAGAATGCTGTATTCTAATAGAAAATTTTTCTTTCAATTCTACATTCATCACTGGCCTTGGTGTTCATTTATTGCAATTACAAATATATCATTGCAAAGTTAATCACACTACATATATCACAGTGAACAGAGCCAGAAATGATTTTTCCTTGCATGTTATTCACCACTTAACATATTGAGAAATATGTTAAATATAACTTGTAGATTTTAATTTGAGATTTATACTTTATTTTCTGTTTTCACTTGTTTATTACAGTGAGGTTTTTTGAGGAAATTGGTAGTTTTAGTTTTGTTTTATGTAAAATACATCACGAATGAGTATAACTGATTTGTTTGACAATTTTTAATAGACTTCCAATGTAAAATTTCATAAAAAATCCATTATGTTATTTTAGATGAAGCACGTGGATTGACAATCTGAGACAGTCTCCCCTATATCTGTATGCTTTGTGCAAAGAAAACATAATAAGGTTAAATATTGCACAACCCTAAGTCATCACTAGATATCACAAACACTGCAGCACAGTTGACCATCAGTCATTGCCAATATGCATCAGCCAGGACAGTGGAGTCAGTCTTATGCTGTAAAGCTGACATTGAGCTAGTCTATAGTTGTGTTGTGGATGTTATTCACTGTGCTGTAATTTCTTGTCTGGGTAATGAAGGGCAGTAAACAGTCGACGTTCTTGGACAAATTCTAGCATGATACATTACATGATGATTTCTTCAAGAGTTGATTAAATTAAAGGTGTGGTCTGGTCACATTTTCTAAGGTTGATAGAATTTATGAAATTAAATAAATTGTACAAATTTTGTTTATTAATTTCTTACATCTTTTCAGAGGCAAATGTTGAAAACTGAAGCAAAGATTCTTGGTTTTTCTGCACGTCACTTTTCACTCATACTGTTCACTGTCTTTTCACTTGAACAACACGTTTAAAAAAATGTGACCATCTTCAGGTTCAATTCCCTGTTTCTATGTCATTGCATTAAGGATGTCCTCACCGATGTCTTGAAATGATAAAACTATATGTTAATACATTGTTTAATTTAGTGAAGTCAGTTAAAAGTTCTTTAAACAGTTTTAGCACTGCCTGGTGCATCCCAGTGTGTTTCCTCTTTAAACAGAACATTTATTTTACTAGATGTATGTATATAATACTCTACTGTGAATATGTGCATACCACATCACGTACAGTAAAATAAATTTCTGTTTACCGAAGAAACACACTGGGACTCAGCAGTCTATGCAAAAAACAGTTTTAAATAACATTTTTGATAATAATTTTGGCATTTTAACTTTTAACTGACTAAACTAAATTAAAAAGTGTGTTAATATATAGTTTTATCATATTTAGACATCAGGGAAGGAGATCTTTAGTCCAATGACGTATAAGCAGGGAATTGAACCTGATAATAACTACAGTGAACAGGGTGAGTGGTAAGTGATCAGAGAAATAATAATTCAACATAACGCATCAGGATGCTATACTACATACTACAGACTTGAAACAAGGATATTCAAATGCTGCCTTATAGTTAATTCTGTTCTTTCTTTGTGTTTTTAATCCTCATATTCCTCTGCAAATTAAGTTATTTTTATAATATCTAAATTTTGGTGCAGGGTAGCCAATAAATATTTGAAAGTGAAGGTGCATCACTGTCACCATGAAATCTTGTCAGTGGGTCTTAACCTAACCCTGCTCATCACTCCCACAAACTACTTCCCTAAGCTTGATTTGAATGTTATTGCCACGTTTATCATGTTGTCTAACAAAAATTTTTATGCATTTCTTGTATCCCTCATACATGCTATATGTGTTCCCCATATCAGTCTCCTTGAGTTAATCACTCTTTATCAGCATGTGAAGAGTACAAGGTACAAGTTTAATGATATAATTTCCCCAGTTCATCTGTTGGTTTGTTTTTCCTAGATCTGCATATTTTCCTCATCACTCTTTTCATTTCTCTCTTCTATATGTTGTATAAGAGGACAAATTGTTCCTATACATACTTTCAGATTAAAAATAGTATGTCGAGTGCTTTTGGTAGCTCTGAAGAAAGTTTGAGCAAAAGATGTTTTCACTTGATCACACTATTAAGTGTTTTGTAAATAGTTCATCAATGATGAAAAAATTTTGTATATTGATATTAATGTTGAAACATTTTTGCTGACCCTTCTCTATCAGCAGTTAAACATGTTCATGCAGTTTCAGTGTGACAGGTTTTTTTTAAAGGTGCTTGATTTAGAGCAAATGTTTATCGCACAGAATGCTTTTGAAAAAGTTTGGCATATTAAAGTGAGTCAGAATAACTAATTGTAGATGCTTCAGCAACCACCTAAATTTAGTCTCAGCTTACTAGTACTGAATGAAAAAAGATCTGTAACATGTATTTACTCGTGTTCTTCAGTTTCCACTTTCTAAACCCTGAATGGAAAAGAGGATTTATGTGATCACTGGTGATGCCCACACTGCCTCCATTATGATGAGTGGCACTGCCGTCAAAGACTTCTTACATTGTGTAGTTCATTGGCTTGTGTAATGTGAGATGGGACTGTGTGCAGATGTGCTTGTAATAACTGTGTCTCTCCAGTGGAATCAGCATTTTCATACCCAGGGAATAAGTGCACTGTCATTTATATTTGTATTCATGAGATATGATGGTGACAGTTGATGAAAGACTCGGGTTACAAGTTGCATCAGGTGGCTGAATGGTGAATAAACCATATCCTCTGCCAACATTTCGAGAGCAATCTCTGCTCTCATCCTCCACCTGACTCAGCTTGTAACCCGAGAGTCTTCCATCAACTTCGGTCGCCACGAAAGCTTCACTTTATACATGATGGTAATAGTTCTTTGTGGTAATGATGTGAGGGAAATTATGCAGGCAAAAAGAGAGATAATTTCCTACCAAAATTTAGGGAAGGGAGAAAGTACATAATGGACAGAACTACACAAATAAAGGAGACGGGTATCACAGTCCTTGCATAGTACAAGTAGTGCATCTTCAGTTACCAAAGGTAATTGTTATTACACTAAAGCCCTGTAAGTGAGAACCGTCA